ACTCTAAAAGTGCAAGCAATAAGAGACATAGCTTTTTCTAAAATTCAACATCTTTTTGCAAATGTCCATATCCCACAAAAAGTATTGCGTGAAATGGACAACAAAACCGTAAACGTGGTTAGGAAATGGCTTTGTCTCAACACACATTCCACAAGATGTTTTATCTTCCAGAAAAGACAGGACGGGGGGCTTGGAGTTCCAAACTGCATGTGGGAGTACATAGCCACAAGACAGTCTCACCTTATCAATATGCTAAACTGTGATGATATCAGCGTGGGGCGAATGGCCAGAGCATCCTTATTGCTGGATTTTAAAAGACGGAAGGTGCCACACGCATGCTTCCTGGTTTTTAAAAGAAAGACCAATGGAAAGCTGGATGGACGGGCACAGTGATTTGGTGTGTCATCAGACTGGCCAGACTTAAACGACCTATGCTGGAGGACAGGTACTGAACTGAAGTGGACCTCCCGCTACCAACCTGTAGAGGTCTCAAATGCAGTCGTAGAGGGCCCATCTGTCATCGTGGAAGCCAGGCTGCACCATAACAACATTGTTCACCTGCTCCAGCCTAGAACGACTCTCTTGTCTCTCTTGTCTATTCAAAGAGCCCAAAATATGGAGTACTGGTCCAATCTAAAACTCCAGGGAAAACTGCCCAAACTGCCCTGCGCGGACCACTCTGTATCACACACCATTTACAGCAATGCCACCATCAGTGAGGAGATCCTCACTTTCTGTGTAAAAGCACGTCTACAGGTTCTTCCTACAAAATACAACCTATCACTGTGGTTCCCCTCCACCCATTCACCCCTCTGCCTGCTGCATGACCCTCCTCAACACCTGGAGTCAGTAGCCCACATCATGAACAGTTGTTCATCATTTAAAGGACTATATACTGCCAGACATGACAGACTTGTGGACCTCATTGCTGCTCAGATTCCCTGTGTGGCTGATGAGCAGATCTTTAAACACACTACTGTACAGTCTGAATGGTTCAACTCACCTGCAAACACTTTTCTAGGAATTGCTAATACACCAGATATCGTTAAGATCTCTCAGAATGGCAAAACAGTTACACTATTTGAGGTGTCGTGCATTTGACTTGTTTATGGAGGATTTGTGTGTGTGTGTGTGTGTGTGTGTGTGTACGTACTTTTTTTGAGCATTCAGTTTTTGGTCTGAATTTTATTTTATTTCATTTTTTGAATGACTGTTGGGCAAAAGGGTTTTCTTTGTTCAGGACACAGCATTTATTATTTAATTGTAATTGATTCGTTTACATCCTCAGCTGCTCTTGTGAACATATTGTTTATATTCTTTCTTACTATAAATTATTATATTTTTATTTTATTCTTTTTGACTATTGACCTTTTGGTCTGAATTTTTCTTCTTTTCTGACTATTTTCTATATATTTTTTTTTATATTTTGTTGTTTTTTAGGTCTTTTTTTTTTTTTTTTTTTTTTTTTTTTTTTGGGCTTTTTTTTTTTTTTTTTTTTTTTTGAGTGTTCAGTTTTGGTCTAAATTGTTTATTTTATTTTATTTCTGGTGGGAAAATGGTTTCCCCACCCTGTTCAGGATGCATCATTTATTGTTTAGTTGTGATTGAGTCATTCAGGTCCTCAATGTCCGCTCAAGCATCAGGATGGTTTTTCTGACACGGATCTCAGTGACTCGGCAGGAGCGCTGGATGTCTCTGTGGACTCTAATCTCATCTCTGGGTACAGTAGGCCATTTATTCCTCACTGTACACCGGACACTTTATCCGCTGAGAGCCGCTCTGCGTGGCATTAGAGGCCGTTTGTGCTCATGCGCAGTGGAATGGCAGGAATGCGGCCCTCGTCCCGCAGGAGTCGCTGGATAATGACCAGCGCTGATGCATGCAGGTGGAATCCAGGGACTGCCGGAGCGTGTCGGGACAAAATGAGACACAGAGAGAGTCAATGAAGGACAGAGAGGAGGGTGAGCTCCACACCGAGTGCGGATAAAGAACCCATGAGTCACAGTTCCTGAGATTGAAATACCAGGATTAAATTAAAGGGATCATTGGAACAGTCCAGGTGGTGGCAGATGCTTTAACATTCAAATTGTAATGTTTGCACACGGAAACAGCTTTGTTATTTGTGTTGTTTGTTTTTGTTTAACAGTGGCATTCATTTAGATTATTATTGTATATATACATACGCAAATAGAGAGAGAGAGAGAGCGCATTTTAGTTTACCTTGTTTTATGTAGACTATTTTACTCTGTTTTCTGATTTTGAAAAACTAGCTTTTTGGTTCCACAAATCTTAATGTGTTCTTTAAAACTAAAATGTTAGTTTTCAATAAGACTATTTTTGTAAAATAAATAAATAAATAAAAATCTTTAATCAAAACCGACCGACGTTTAAATCTTTTACTAGAAAAAAAAAACCCCGACATTTTAATCTCTAATAGAACAAAACTGACCACCATTTAAATCGGTTACTTGAACGATACCAACCAACGTTAAATCTGTTAACAGAGCGAAACCGACCGACGTTTAAATATGTTACTAAAACAAAACCGACCAATATTTAAATCTGTTAACAGAACAAAACCGACCGATGTTTAAAGGGGTCATCGGATGCCCATTTTCCAGAGTTGTTTACTTTAGCCACAGAACTTGCTAACTAGCACGTTATTAGGAAACGTGATTTGCACAGATTCATAAAAAACCTTTATACTCACTTCTTCTGTTGATGAAGCTGGATCATGAATGATTTGCGCGAACATAGACGCATTTAGGCAGATCGGGGATCGGCGCATTCCCTTCAAAAATTAATGTAACATTAATCCTCTGCATCTTCAGCGGCTCAGATGTTGGCAGTAA